CAATCCCAAATCTTACCTGTTTCTTGTTTAATTCATGTCTCTCTCCCCCACTGCACCCATCCCATGTTCCTTGTGCAGCCAGCCACAGCCCCCTTCCAATTTCTCCTAATCGTTGTCACGTCAGGCTCCTGCTTCTATACTCTTTCTTTAGTGTGTAGACGGTGGCGCTTAGGGACATGGTTTAGAGGAGAGGCTGCCCAGGGAAGTGGTGGAGTCACCATCCCTGGAAGTATTTAAAAGACGTGTAGACAAGGCGCTTAGGGTCACGGTTTAGAGGTGGACTTGGCAGTGTTAGGTTTACGGTTGGACTCGATGATCTTAGAGGTCTTTTCCAACCTAAATGATTCTATGATTCCATGTGGCTTCAACCATTGCCAAGCAGCACCAGAAGCATCGCTGGGTGCACAGTCCCATCCCACAGGAGCTGGGAGCAGCACTTACACAAGCTTCAGCTTGTCCCTACAGATCTCAACTGATAAATGCTCCCTGGCCAGGGGAGGATGCAAACAGCCCGGCTCTGGGAGCAGCAAAATGAGAATATTCAATCACCATGGACATCAGGCCACCTCCGGCTACGTATCTGCTGTGCAGATGGAAACAGACTGCTCCCCTTCCCCCAGACATTTATAATTTGGTCAAATTTAGTCAGATTATCAGCAGCAGAACCCTAGCACAAAGACTACCTGCCAAATTTCAAATTCCTAATGCAAAACATGACCTTACCAGAGCTTGTTAAAGAACACGTTGACAGCTGTAACCATGCACAAGACATGTTCATGCCCTGGTCTCGCTCCAGAAATGGCCAATGGTTCTCACTGAAACTTTAAAAACACCAACCCTGGAAAATGACATTCACTGAGACAACTATGCCTTGGAATAGTCCACTACTCTTAAAAAAACAAACCACCAAACACCCCCCGCCCCAAATTCAAAGTTAAAAACTTACATACCAGTCCCTGTCACCTCTACTCTCTCCCCCCCCATACTGAAGAAAGCAACCACAGCAGGTAGGCAACGAAATGCCTATTTAAAAAACAACAGCAACCATCACCATCCCTCACACGGTTTTGGATTTCAGAGGCATGTAACATGAAAGTACCTTAAATTTCAAAACCATCTACCCGAAATCAGTGCCGCAATTTGAACAATCTCATTGGTTTGCAGTCTACTCTCTCCCCCCCCATACTGAAGAAAGCAACCACAGCAGGTAGGCAACGAAATGCCTATTTAAAAAACAACAGCAACCATCACCATCCCTCACACGGTTTTGGATTTCAGAGGCATGTAACATGAAAGTACCTTAAATTTCAAAACCATCTGCCCGAAATCAGTGCCGCAATTTGAACAATCTCATTGTTTTGCAGATAATATTAAAAAGGGAAAAAAGAAAAACAAAAAGCTCAGACCTGGGGTGGTCTTGCAAGAATAATAAAAAAAAAAAAAAAATTAAGAAGTTTTGATTAACGAGACTTTTTAACACCAGGCTCCTGGACGCCTACAACTCAGGGTGCAAGAACTGCAGATGCAAAGAACAGGAACTCAGTTCTATATATACCCAGCACTGAGATTCTCAGTCTCGGTTTCCTATAACTTTGCTTGTGGGCTATTTCTTAACGCAATAAAAGTAAACACAGTTAAATTGTGATTTACAATCTATCATTATTTACTACAGCATGAAGTACTATAGTAGCACTATAGGTTACTGCTACATAAAGTACTATATGATGTTATTTTGACACCCGATGTCATTTTATTTAGAGTTTCATAAATCAGAGAAGAAAAGTCACAAATACTTGTCCCCTTTAGGGAATTCTTGCATTTACTCGTTTACCTTGTTGTTGTTGCTGTTATTATTAGTGAAAGAAATTGAGCTCTACGTGGTTACAGGGACCTAACTGCATTAAGCCAATTGCAGGAACAGGACCTATGGTTTTGATCATATTTTCCAGGCAGTTAAGACCGCATTCATTTTAAACAAAAAATGCTTCAGCAGTCAAAAAGAGTTTCTGTGGTTTCCTGAGCTTTTTACCAGTCAGTATAATCACAAGATTTATAAAACTGTGCTTACTAAAATTAATCTTAAAAATCAATAAATAAATGTGGGTTAAATACCACAAAGGAAAATAGCCCATAAATGGACTGTACAGTCATGCCTCTTATAAGAACAGTACACACACTACACAGCAGCAGAGAGAAAAACAGGTTGACCTAAAATACATCAAATCCTTTTTTTCTTCATACTTCGCCCAAGTGATGGGGGGAAAAAAATAATCCTGCTGTAATTGCTAAAATTTGATAAACATTTGCAGTGAATACAAGTTTCATTCCAGTTGTGTAACTGAGGCTAGATGTTCACATTTTACAGAAACACCTATACAGCTTTCCTGACTCCATTCATTTTGCTGCCCTATGATACCCTCTCAGCCTTTAGGAGATGTGGAGTTAATATTTAAGAAAGCATGAGACTAACGTCTTACTTTATACTGTAGTTTTTGAATAGTAACTTGATCATTCATACCTGGAAACATCCATTTAAATAATCCAAAAAGATGGGTGAGGGGAAGTGATTTATCAGTACGGTTTTGAATCCTTTTTCCACAAAGTGGGGCACTAACTACACTTACTTCCCATCACGGGATCTGTAGGAACCCACTACCCATATATCCATTCCCCAACAGTTCACAAGACAAGATGCAATGCTCACATTTGTATTTTGATAACCACATCCCTCTGTAAAGTTCAGGAATACCATAGATAACGTAGATCTAGAAGGTAACTTTATTTTTTTTAAAGTATAACAGAATGTGGTTTTTCTATAGTTAAGGAATCCTTTCTATCAGGAATACTTAAGAGTCAGTATCACAGTCATCAACCCTCTTGTCCATATCATAGTTTATTTAGGTGACTTTCGGAGTGCACAGCTGAAGTTTTGAACAAGGGGAGACCTCCTCTTTCTCCTTCACTGCATCCAATCCATCCACACGACACCAAGATTAAGAGCAGGGCGCAAGAAAAAGCCTTCAAATTCAATAAGAAAAGCACTGCAAGGGTGGAAAAGCATTCTGCTTAGCCTCCAAGTTTGCGCTCTCCTTCGGCATGAAACATGCCCCCATCCATCAAAGAATGGAGAAAAGGGTAAGGGAAAGAATAGCAAGGAAGAGAGGAGCACAGGAGGAAGAGTTAAGGTTATTCCACATCTATCCTCTGCAGTGTCATAGCACTCCATCGGCTTTTGATGGTAGAAGTTTCCATTTTCACAGGTTTTTCTGCAGTAGGGCTGACAGGAGAAGTTCACATAGACAGGCCTGCAGGCTCAGGCAGTTCACAGCCACCTCTCACTACCTAGTTAAGAAGCAAAACTAGCAAAGCTCTGGCCACATAACGCTAGTAATGAACGGACGCCTCTCACCAGACACTATGGAGTGGGCAAACACAACCACAGAGTAAAAGAAAGAAGCAGTTAGCGGAAATCTGAAGGAAAACCAAAGATTAAATTGAGAAGAAGATGGAAGAAGCAAAGGCAGGACTGAAAAAATCAGTGCAGGGTAAAAGGAACACGGTGGGGTTTGGTTTTGTTTTTATTAAAATGGAAGTAGTAAACTAACATCCACATTGCACAGAAAACACTACAACTATATTGGCAGGGTTAGCTGCAAAGGCAAGAATAAACCGGACAAGAAAACTTGATTTATGTTTTCATTCCACAGCTGGATCCTTATTACCAATTTTAGGGAAATCTTCCACTTCCACTTATCCAGTAAGGAATTTATTGAAAGACCATGTGTAAAGCCTTTAAAATGAATGAAGAATGACAGGGGAAGAGACTGAGGCAGGAGTGAAATCTTGTCTGCTGTACTCTTACTGCCAGCAAGCTCAATTTATGAGAGAAGCTAAATGACTTCATGATATGGAACCCAAAAATACACATCACATAGGTACATGTACGGTGCGTGTGTATAGGTTCAAGGCACACGAAGGTGAGGCAGAACAAAGCTTCAGGAAAATGTTGTTTCAGTCATCTGCATGGTTACTATAGGGGCTCCTCCCAAAAGCTGCTTCCTAAAAGGTACTCCCAGGAAACTGCATATAAACATCATCTCTTCTTGCTTTCTACATACAGAGCTATAGGAAATAATCTGAAATTTCAGAGAGTAAACACTGTAAATCTCTACCGCTTGGCACCAAGGAAAAAATGCCAGTTCCCTCCAAAACAGGCTGGAAATTACCTGGGAGAAGAGTTCTGCTTAGATACCTTGACACTTGCTTCCAGCTTTTTGTATTTCATTAATTTCACATAACCCCAAAAGAGAGTTTCCACGTCCCAGTCAAAAAATTAAATAAAATCAGCGCAGACATCTTCTGCATTATCGTAGCTTTAGGAGCTAGTAAACTAGAACATAATTGTCCAAGGTATTCTCCAGCACAGGTGGTCAAGGCCCATCAAAGCTAGTCAAAATTTGGATCATATTATATGGACAACATAAAACAGATATTAATCTAGCAGAAAGACAGAAAAAGAAATGCCAAGTAAGGAAGTAACATTCAGTCTGGAAAATAAAACTCTAACTAAAAGCTCCTCTCAGCTGCATCAAACTGGTTAAGCAAAGTTTTTCAAGAGAAACAAAACAGGTTTTCTGTTTTTCTCTCTGTTCTAGCCCCTCCACTTCCACGGCAAACACTCAGCATCGTTGAGGCAGCCTGCCTGGCTATTACTACGTTAATTTGTAACAGGAAACACCAAAAAGACAGAAAAAGAGGTATATGCAGCACCTCCTCTACAAGAGGGAGCGCGTTGGTTCACTTCACTCGGTAAAGTTTTGAAATGACTCTTCTAACTTCGGGTTACTAGTCCTTAGGAAAGAAATGTGTATATGCTATCAAATTTGGATGAACACATTCTGCCTCTGCTGAGGAAACAGATATACGGAAGTAGCTTTATAAAAATAAATATTTAAACGATTTTTAGAGCTGAAGAATTATTTACCGAAACAACAACTCACCACTTCATGAATGGATCGGTTGAAGCCATCATCCTCTGTAAGGATCAGCAAAATGATAAGAGCCATGTAAACGTGGTGTGAATTCCTTTCTTCAACGTGATACAGAATTTCAAGAATTGGCAGAACCTTTAGGGAAGGAAAAATGTCTGTATTAGTTTAGTCTTCAAATACCTCAGACAATAAACAGGAGACTCTAAACCTCCCGTGTATCACCCTGCCCTTAACAGTATCATAGCAATTCCTCCCTCTTGAAATAACCACCCCTAAATAGTGACGTACAGTGTTCAAACACCTTCCATCTGTTTCATTCTGTCTCCACAAGAGTCTAAACAAATTCTTTCTTGTGGTCAGACGTGGAATTTCAATTCCTAATAAATGAGATTTCCAGCCATACCAGTTACCATAGGCTCTGAAAGCTTTAGTTCCCCTCTAGACTATGGGAAAATAAAATTGTTAAACAAGATTTTCACCAGTTCAAGCAAGAAAACAATTGTTTCTAGCCATTTGTGCTACCACAAGCCTGGTCTGAAAGGACTTTCCTCATCAAATATAGCCAAGCACAGCGGAGCTGAGGTGCACAGAAGCATTTTGAGACCTGAAACTCAAATCCCTTTTTGGTGTGTGGAGATAATCCCAGAAAAGAACCAGTTTGGGTTGGGTTAAGACTAGACAAGGCCTGTTTTTCCAATTCTATATAATAGGCAGCCAAAGAGAACTGACATTATGATGAGAGTTCAGCCCAAGGTCTTGCAACATTTCCACCAGGATGAACAGCTTAAGCCAAAGTCTTGCAATAATAATGAAAATGAGATTTCATTGCAACAGCAAGCATACCTGAATGCTAGTCTAAAGTTAATCCAGATGCAAACGTTGTCTCACTACCAACTGAAAAGCAGCTTTCCACTGGCTCAGTACAACGTAGCTTCCCCGGGCTGCAGAAATAGGCCTAAATCGCAAAATACCCTGGAAAAAGGAACTGGAGACAACTCTCAATTCCAAGATAGCGGATGAGATGCAGAATTCATTCCAAGAAGCTTCCAGACACCTAAAGACTCGCTGTTTTTCAAAACAGGCCGAGTGCAGCAGCATGAATCATGTGAAACCTATTCTGGTGAGCAGCCAGGACACCGAGTGCTTCACAAGCCTCTGAAGTTACCAGAATGTTCTCTTACAATCAACCCGTCCCAAAACAGTTGGAACATATTAAAACACACAACAGTTTCTATTAAAACCAATGAGATTGATCTAAATGCTGCAGGCCACAAAACCTTTTGACAGATGCTTTGGCCAGGGTCAAGACAATACCACAACAAAAGCAGAGGGAAAAAAGTATTTGCTCATTGCAAACATCCTTCCTTTACCATTTCAAAGGATCCTTCACAAACCTCCCTCTCCAGCTGAAACTGGAGTCCATGTCTTTGTGTTTTGCGAAGACGGGTCTTGAGAGTAAAGACCAGGTTTTCCCTAGAATATCTACTTAGCATATAGCAAAAAAACATTAGTCCTTTTCCTTGGATGGGGGAAAAGGGAGACAAACATCACCGCATTAGTTCACTGTTCAAATTATTTCCACCTCCAACATTTATATTGCACGTAGCTTTGCACTGCATAAGCTCAAAGTCATTTCCAAGTCCAAGCGTTATGATAAGCTGCATACAGCAGGAAGCAATATAAAACTACTGAAGAATCGCATTTACAACTTGACTTTGCAGGGAGAGCAACAAAAGCCTTTCTGAAGGTAACCAGTGGAACAACTTCTTAGTTTTTAAGACAGCTCCCAAATAGCCGTGCCTGTTAATTTTTACAGCTACTCCAAATTGAATATACTGCCTTATAAAGTACATGCCTTGCACTCCTTCAGTATAACTGTGATCCAGACTGGTTAGGGCTAAATAATACCATACAAAGCACTCTGGCAAAACATAATCTCTCAGAACGGCCCAACATATCTCCTCTGTCCACGCACATCAGTATTAGGTCAATCTGTCGCTGAAAAAGTGCATTCGTGTTCCTTAAGTGCTCCAAGTCCTAAAACCGTGTTGCTACAAACCACATTAAAAAAGGGTACCTTGATTCTGACATTGAGACATTATAAACTTTTCCATATGAGCCGATACGTGAAAGTACTCATTACTAAAATTTCCTACTAGCTACTGAAATGACTCTCACTCTGTAGAGTGATTTGGCTCTCCAGATCACTGCATTCAGTCTTCCTGCCCCAAACACACCTTGAAAGCTTTCGAAACCCCTTCCCACCTCCACTCCCCTGGCCACGTCTTCCTCTCCACTCCTCTTTCAGAATTCTCTCCATCTACACACCAGACCAAACTCAAGGAGGCAAATGGCAACTTAACTCTCTCTACCTGCCGTTTCCAGATGAAAACCGGATCAATTCATACAGTTTCTCTAACCCTTCCTCCTCCAAACACTTTTTCCTTCGTATACCGATTGCCGAGGTACACACACCTTTAGGACAAGTATTACTGTTCTCAGAACAAAAACTACTTGACAAGCCACCATTTAAATGAAAAAGAGTTGGGATATAAGATGAAATTAAAATTTCAATTATATTAAAATTTATCTAGAATTGTAACTAAAATGCATTTCTACACTTTTATGTTACACACATACATTAAAACTTTTCTCTCTCTCTCTCTATGCAATGGCATTGTCCAGCCACGTACTGAGAAGACAGTAACCATTTATTTTTGTATTGATGGCCCTTTTATTCATAGTCATTAAACTATCATTACCGGACTACTACTAACACTCCTCCGTCAGGAGCAGCTTTTAACTGGCAAGACACAGCCACCATTAAAAAGTTACTTTTAATCCCCAAAACAAGGAACAGGTCAAAACAGACACTGAAAATTGCAGGTGCTATATTCAGTCCAAGGTCAGGAACAGTTTCCCCAGCAAAGAGTTTTAAAATAGCTTGTCTTTAGTGTACAACAAAATACAAGACCGCATAGCCACACGAGTAACCTGCCTAAGCCAAATTTATACCACAGGAAAAAATATTGCTGTACCATCAGTTAATATAAATACATCATCACATACATTATTTCGGTCCAGACATGTTGAGTAGCAACAAAATGTACAGCATACAGCAGCGCTGCACAGCTCAGCAGCCAAAGCAAACATATTCAACAGAAATAGCTTACTTCTTACAAGCAGATATCTCACTGGCACTTTTACCTGCAATATGGGTGTCAACTGCTCTTACAAACAGAATGTGGCTCAACGTTCTCCCATCCACAGACCATGACACTATGCTTATGAAAAAATTTGCTAACTGACCCCTATCGCACCAGTCCCACCGCTTCCTGGAGAATCCCTGCAAGTACTTTCAATAAGATAGCCAAATTCCAGATGAGAACATCCCTAACAGCATCAGAATTTAACCCAATTATTTTATAAAATTATACAAAGTGACATGCTCTAAGTTACGGAAGACACACAAACATCCTATTCATTCTACCAAGCAGACTGTTATTATAAGAGCAAAAAAGATGCTTGCCTTACTGATGATAAAGCATTATAAAGCACAACAGGAGATCAAGGTGTTTATATATAACTGACAGAGGTAGATTCATACACAAATGAGGAAGCAAGCTGAGACGTTATCTATTACAACAAAACCACACTGAATCAATTTACAAATTGAACTGAAGTTACAAAAGAACAAAGACACATTTCAAAAACCCCTAGGAAACGTCACGGAACATCTGCTAGCGATGCTTCCTGGGCACCAAAACCGGGAAGTATTAAAATAGGGGAAAACACAGCAAACCTGTTGCACTGACCGCAGTGAAACAGGAACAACCTGCAAACCCCCTCAAAGTTTAAGATGAGCACTCAGCTGACTGCTGACCTGATCTCTCATATAGCACAGACTCATACTTCACCCAGCTGCCTCTGTGTGAAGAGGCCACTAACTTATGCCATATTCCTCCAAAAAGTCATCCACCCTCATTCAAAGATATCCATAGAGAGCGCTGTTTTGCCTCTGAATTAATTACCTCAACTGTTTTGCTCCTGTATCTCTAAGCTGTGGGATTCAACCTCCAGGCTTTAGTTCTTATCACACCTCTCTGCAAGCAGAGAGTCCGTTCGGTTCAAGGCTTTCCCCTTGTGAAGGCACATACACATCCTGATGCTTCTCAAGCTCTTTTCTCACCAGCTGAGCTACGTTAGCTGTCTAAGCCTCTCACAGTTTTGTTGTTAATTTTAAAGCAAACAAAAAAAAAAGTTTCTCTACACTCTCTCCGTGTTTCAATAGCCTGTAAATATTTTATGAAGTATGGTAGTACACCACCAGAATAGTACCCAGCGTGTTAGCACTGCTCTTGCAGTTGCCATATAGGGAAGGAAATAACCAGCTCCGTTAATCCTGCCCCTTCGTCTCGTTTACAAGCCCAAGACTGAATTAGCCTTTTTCACCACAGGGTTGTAATTAGGAGATCGTGATTTCTTTGTCCAGTAACCCTCCCACCCCCAATCCTTTCTGGTCTGGCTCAGCCTGCGTTACTAAGCAATTAAAACTGCTCTTCTCAGTTCTCATCCTTACCTACCAGCCCGCTAAAAACAAGAGGATTGGACAAAGATGTCAGTAACGTGTCAGCAGTGATCACCAAAAGCAACAGCATGCAGGAGGAGTAAAATGAGAGCAGACCGTTTCAAACTTTGGTATTAAAAAAACAAATCAAATATGCTGTTGACTTTTCAGTGATGCTTGTCTCAATTTTCTCAGCTTTCCCCACAAAGTGTTAAACGTTACTGATTATTTCTGGGATTTTCTGAATTTTTTTTTTTTTTTTTGAGGAGGAGGAAAGATAGGTGCTAATATATGAAAGTATCCCACGTTGCAGAGCATCTGAGTACCTGCATCCGGAGTTGTTTTGACACACGCACCTCATGCTTTTTCTGGAAGTTTTACAATATATCAGACATCATAATTTTAAAACAATGTACGCACCTAACCTTTATTTCTCTGAAGATAAAGTAAATTGATACGGTTAGCAGCTGTGAAACATGTCATATCACATACTAACAGCCCAGAAAATTAAATGTGACCATTTGTTCACAGAATTCATGCAAAATGACTCAGCCCTCACCTAGATAATCTGCAGCGGACTAAACAGGAGTTCAGTCTTGAATCAATTCGGTATCAACCATCTCACCTGAGTTTGCCAACAGTGGCGTCTATCAACTCTGATTTTAGCAATACATCTGCTAGAACTTGGACCAAGACCAAACTCCTTCCATATCTGCCATCAAACAGGCAAGGGATCTAATTATCTGGCAAGATTTCAAATATTAAAATGGAAAGGGTTCTCTATTCCGTTACCAATTCCCCTAGACAGCCATTATCTTATTAAAGGAATGCTTTTTAATAAGTAAGATTTGTTAAAGTGGTTTGTGACATTACCAAAAGTAGTGGGGAGCATAAGCTAATTTATAGCCTACAAAAACTGTACCAGGTGTCTGTTTTATTGGCTATTAACCACAATCCTATTTAAAGCAGCTAAAAAGTCACTGCAGTTGTATTTCTATAAAATCTGTCAGCTGCTCCTTGAGGAGTTTCAGCCTCAGGTCAACCCTGTAAGACATTTGGCATATTAGTCAAGTTACAGCTCATTTTGTTAACTATTATCCCTGTACGCACACAGTAAGCTTGTGTAACTTTTTGGCCTGAATAGCTAGAAAAGAAAAATAAAATAATGAATAGAATGATAGCTGCTACCAGTTTCTTTTCACCACGTCAGCAGGTTTGACCTGGATCAGACAGTGGCATTGAGAAAGAGGGAACCAAAGACAGCCTGGTAGCTTTATCAGTACTATCTTTTACTGCAGTGACATGTTTAGCATCGTACTCCTGAGATGACAAAATAAAAGTGAATAAGTGAGCCAGAACTGGTGAATATGTGAGCCAGAACCTACTGCCCCCACTGTGGAACAGGGGACACTGGCAGCTGGTGACACCCCAGCTTCCAGGACCACCCCCTCATGATGAGTATAAGGCAAGCAGAGCAATACTTACAAGATTTTCTATGTCCGTTCGTGCCAACACATACGTCCGTACGTTGCTGTTTTGATGCAGAAGCATGTATAAAAGAAGAGTTGCTTGATCAGATTTCTGCTGCTCACACAAAGCTGTGTATAAACTGTTAAAATTAATCTGGAAAGCGTGTGGATGTGACGACGAAAAAGCAGTGCTATCTGAAATAAAGAAATAAAAAAACCAATCTTTAACAAATGCATTTACCATCCAGCTATTTGTTAACTTTATAAAATCTCTCAGTGAAATATTTTATACGGACACCACCGTAAGGAGGAAACAAAAGTCATCCATGACTCCTATCACCAATGGTCATAAACCTTAACAGGGTCTCACGAAGCTTCAGTTGTGCCAAAAAGCTGAGGTGGTCCTCCCCCACGAGCTCCAGTAAGACCCCTGCATCTGCACAAGACACTCATCTTTTTTCATAAAGCTATTCTGTTCGTCCAAATGGCTTCCACTGTTAGAAAGGAAGGCAATCCCAGGAGCTGCTGCAAGGAGGGCAGCTGGGGTGTCTCCTCTGGAACCGACGTACTGGTGATTCGTGTGTTTCCAAACCCTGCACCCCAAACTTCCAGGTTTAGTTCACTGGCAGCAAGGTGGAGTATCTCCTATCCATTTCTTGGCATGAAGGGCAGATGCGCATAGGTCAAGACTATCGGTACATTTTCAGCGAAACATAGGTGTTGTCGGGACTTTAAAGATGCATGTGCGGTGGGGAGTTTAGTGGGTTAATTAAAATGATTTAGAACACCACGTCATATAGTCTAACATCCCTCAAAGTAACAGCGGTTTGTTCACGTTCACAATATAATCTGTGCCAGAGCCGAAAGTAAGAATAAAACAGATTTCTGTTCACAGAACCTTTCACAAGAAGCTTTACCAGTTTCAACCAAGAAGTCCATCAGCACAGATCTCTGACACCTAGGAATTTCCTAGGTGGAAATGGAAAAAGCAAGGGTGACAGTCAGTGCGCTCATACTCATGTCAGAAAGCCAGATTCACGTCCTTCCTTAGCCTCCAGATCTCCCCAAGTCAGAGATTTTGCCTTTGGTTTCTTTACAAAAAACCTTTGAGAGTGCAAGGTTTCGTTCCAGTGCAGAGCAGGTACATTTCTCACATTTCTCAACTCTCAAAAAGCTTCACAGGAATTTGTAGAAAGTATTTTCCTGTCCAGCTCTGTTCAAAAACATCCATTCAAAGCATGCATCTTCTGAGACGATACATGAAGTAGGACGAGTCTGCCTTTTTGAGCTGATTTATTTCAGCATCCTGGCAACTGAATACAAAGGCTATCTTTTCTGAGCACACAAACAAGCTATGCATATGGAAAAATTACAGCAATTTCATGGCAAGAGGATATTCTGGGAACAACAGCAGTTTGGATACTCAAGTATACTAAAGGTCTAGACTTAAAATTTTCCGTATTACTATAAACAAGATGTCTAAAGTTGAAGAATTTAACTAGAATTCCTTTGTTCCCACAATAACAGACTACAGATTTCGGAATTGTTTACTGTTTATTTTTAATAAACTTAGGAAAGCTCTGCTGTATAAAACAGTGTGACAATACTACTACTCCTGCACAGTGATTTGTGGACAGAAGGGATTTTTAAGGGGAGGAAGAAAAGACTCAGAAAGATAAAGGAAAAAAACCAACGCAAATTTCAAACCCTGCTTTTTTACAAGTCATTTCACAAGCAAGCAGTATTACGATAGCCAGCATGCTAGGCAGCAACTATCGCACTTCATCCAAATCTTCCTTTTTCCTCAAATCCCGAAAGATGTCTCGGATATTACAGACTTCATCACCACGGAAAACAGTGAGCACAGCATCACCACACGTGTGCCCATGGGCAGCAACCGTGAGCCAACACAAATTTGGCTCTTAAATGAGTTACTCCCATGGGTTCCTACCAAGCTCTTCCACTCTTCTGGAGAAATCTCTATACTGGTAGGGACTGATCACCCAAACACTCCCTACACCCACCGAGATGTGGGCGTCTCGCTTTCCCCTTTCTTTGTAGCCCGTATTCTTAGCAAAGTTTCCAAATAGCTTTCAGTATGGAAGAATGTGGTAGTCGTCACTTATTTTGAACAACATCTCCACCCTCTTTGGAATGAAAAAGTGCTTGGGAGACCTGCAGGAGCCCCACGGGAGCTCTGGCTCCCACCGGGTTTCTGGGGGCCCGGCGGAGACGGCGTGCCGGGGAGCTGCTGCTTCTCTTGGCCCGGGTGAGGGGCGATGGCTCCAGCCATTCAGCCGAACTCAGCAGGAGGCACCGGAGCAAACGCTTCTGCTTTCTGCAGGAGTCGGGAGGCACTGCCGCACACACAGGGGCGAGACGCAGCCCATCGGCGATGGAAACCCTGCCTCTCCCCAACACGACGTACCGACAGGCAGAGGAGAGACCAAAGCCTGGCTTTTCTGAGCTACCGTTTGTGCCCCCACGCGCCCTTCAATCAGTGATCGGGATTATGGACCGATTGGTCCATAATGCTTCATGGACGCATGAACACATGCTTCAGGCAAGTGTTTCTCTTTACTAGGGAAAATGTGGATGTAGACAGCAAAATCGGATCAATTCAACACGCTCTATTAAGCAGCAACCTGATGCCACAGTTCCTTAGCTGAGGAGTGTCCACTGACTTTCAAGCTTCACTTCTGTGGATGTTTAAACCGTGCCACTTACAGTTATAGCACTTCATAATCGGTTTTACTAAAGGATAATTAAAAAACTGTTAAAAAAATATCTAAACAGTATTAAAGAAACTTATCAGCAACAGCAGCATATCCTGTATTATTCTACAGAACGTTAAACTGACCAACAGAAAAATTAAACTATTCTAGACCATAAAGAAAACTATCCTGAATTTTATTAGTTTTGTCCCAATCAAATTACCTAAACTACTTCGACAAAAAAGCCAGTTTTCTTCTTACAGTCACATACCATAGATCATTATGGCAGTAACCAGCCTTTCTTTTTCATATCATTCTCCTCTTACCAGCTCCTCAGAATGTTCACAGGAATCAAATTTAAGCTCAGTTATATGAGTATTGCTAGTGGAAACAAGTTTATGGGAAACAGCAAGTCATTCTAGAAATGTACACATCTAGAGAAAAATACAGCTTTTCATGCTACTTTTGACATAGAATAAGTTCTTTTAAAATTTTATAATGATACACGTGTAACAGTTTTCAATGAAACACATTACTAGTTACTGATGACATGAAACAAAGTCAACCAAATTAAAACATTCATAGCAGTTCACAGTTTAAAAAACAGAACAAAACAAAAACTGTATCAAGAATTTGATCTCAGTTGCCTGTAAACAGTATCCAATAAATCAAAGGGGCACGTCTGGACTAAGAATTCTTCTTACGAGAACAATCCTCCAGCCCCATAACCCCCAAAAATTTCCTAGGTAGAGGTGAACGAATTTGGAGCTCAACCTGCTAAAAACTTAATGGTTAAAGGAATGTAAAAACTCCCCCCAAATAAAGTGAGTAACTCGGAGGTATTGATGTGGCTTCACAGGTTATCATGCAGCACCTGAGCTGCTCTGAGCAGCTCTGTGCATGCTGTCAACCTGCATAAAGCCAACGAAAGGTAAAACCCCGTGGCTAAAACTTGCAGAGATTTAAATGTATGGAGAAAGTATGAGTGGTTAAACATTGGAACAGGCTGCCCAGGGAAGTGGTGGAGTCCCCATCCCTGGAGGTATTTAAAAGACATGTAGATGCGGCGCTTAGGGACATGGTTTAGTGGGCATGGTGGTGTTGGGTTGACGGTTGGACTCGATGATCTTAGAGGTCTTTTCCAACCTTAATGATTCTATGATTCTATGACTCTAAGTATATATGAAAAGAAGCCCGCTGCCTGCAAGCTGAGCTATCTAGATAGTCCAAGCTGTGTTAGGGCATTACCGCGTCCCAAGCGAGACCCTCTGCAGCAGGGCACTGTGAGTCAGTACAGCATCGCACCTGCAGTTACCTGATATACGGACTGGAACCAGCCTTCTCAAAAACCAGGCAAGCCCTGAAACAACTCTGAAATGTTCCGTATGTACAAGTCTCATGGAAGTGTTGACATTAACCAGTTTATCCTCACATTTGCAATACAAGAATACAGGTTGCAAATCAATCCAGTTAGCAATTCAATCACTTCACTTAGCTCTAAGGAACATGACTCCAGCTAAACAGCATTTCCCCAAGTGCTATGAAGTTTTAGGGGACTCCTGCAGACCCTTGGATAACCGACCTACTTATAGGTCAGTTTTATTTATATTTTATGAAATTATGAAGCTTTCTAAAATGTCTCAAGTCTGAAGGAAAGAGTATCCTTCTCCCCCTGCTCCTTCAATTAAGTTCCAGCAGCTGAGGAACTCTATCTCAAAATTCCCAGAAGAAAATACACTGTTACTGCTCTTTCACAGGCTGGCTGGAGGGAAGACAGATTTTGGAAAGAGAACGTCGAAGTAGTCGCAGCAACTTAACACTTCATCTTCATCAGTTCACGCTTAGAAGTAAGAACAGGTACAAACCTTGTGTGTTCTTGAAGGACATAATAGCTTGCCTGTAGGGATTCGGCGTATCTGGAGCATTGGTCAGATTAGCCAGGACCAGCAGAAGCAGCAGACTCTGGTTAGCTAGCGGGGAGCACTGCTCGAGCTGCGGCGTTGGTTTACTCCCCACCCCACCTAGTGTGAAGACTGTCCACAGGCCAGCTAGAGAGAAAAGACAAAAAATATTATGTTTGTTCCCATTTTCATGAACAAAGCTCCCTTAGAGGAAAAGACAGCATCTGATGCACCGGTAGAGAGAAGAGGGAAAAACAATTCACCCCCGTGCAATGAAGTGATAGGTCTGGCTACTTGATTTCTCAAAACGAAAATTTCAGGAGTAACACAGCAGTGGGCATCGAGAGGTGGGAATTGAAAGATTACTGGAAATTCCAGAAAACTAAGTCAAAGGAATATATGAAAAGGAAATTAGGAGAGGTGAAACAAAAGCGTATGTTTGAAGGGGAGAACCTTAAACACAAAGCAGATACCAGCTGAAGGATTCATGTAGCAATCCTGATAATGCTAACATATTAAGAGAGAAAAAGGAGCTTGTATGTTGCCCTTTTAATAAAACCAACTTGGTCCCATCACGCAGCATTTTTCTCATGTATTTTATTTTTAATAAACTCAGCATATTTTAGGCAAAACACAGTAACAAAAACTAATGCTGCTTCAACTAGAACCTCCAGATTGAGAGTCCTGTAGAGATCATCATCATTGCTTGTTATTGTGGGTAGACAACATAATAGCAAATAATAATAAACTTCCTGGAAAAAAAGACAGGATCAACAGCAATTTAAATTTTAAGGTATTATTAAACTCAGCCTCATATTTTTGCATTCCTACAGAAGATGAAACAACTTGAAAAAGCACTTCAGTTGGAAGTACTCACACTGCTCTGAAATTCCTTTTTAAGAGACTGCATATAAGATGTAAAGGTATGGAAGTACAAACTGTTTACAATAATTTGAAGTTAAAAATCTAGTTAAAAGGAAATAAAGGCTTGAAGTGACAAATCACTATTGATACTGTCAAAAAACCAGACTGATTCCTCTCGGGTAAGCAAGTTTTTGTTGTCTCAGAACTGCCTCGAAAATACACGTGTAACAAAGCACCAAAACTTAATTCATGTTAGACCCGCAAAAACTTAGTAGGTACAAAAATGGAAATAGCTCACCATTCCACACCGACTCTCAGTTCTTTGCTCATGAACTACTATAAGAATGCACGTTAGCATACGCTCCCCTTTATCTAGGGATACACATATATATATATATGGTGCATATACAGCTCCAGTATTAAGGCATAAAGTATAAAGCCAGTATAAAGCACCTGAAGGCTGCTCATTAAAACTCTCATTATCATACTGTTTAAACTTTGATGTTTGAGCCTGAAATGCAGAGTCATTTTCATACTTAATCCTTACAGCATTAAAAAAAATTAACTCCAATACTAAACTCCTGCGTTTGAAATTCCTGTTCCTAATTACAGCAGTGTAGGTGAACCAAGTTGACCAGCTACGTGCCCAAATACCGATGAACAGGAGACTGGAAAGGAAAAGGGGCAGCAGGGGAGGATTAGAGGACTCCCCTCAGCCGTCTCCAGCAAGTCCATAAATCCGTATTTCCTTGCCAGCACTCATGAGGCTGTATTACGCTGGGGAAAAAAGAAAAGCACCAAAGCTGAAGCAGAGGTGCTGCAGGCTCAGCATTACTGGGGAAAATGTCAGGGGAAAGGATAAAACTTGCCCCCCCCCCCCATGGCTACGGTGACACGTGGCAACTTCAGTGTCACTGGGCCTCTACCTTTATCACATCTGGACTCCTGATACCTTCCCAGGTGATAAGCAGCAGCCCCTCCCAATCACGCTGGATTATATTCGTCCCCAAATGCCTGGTTAGCACTTAATTTTTTTAAGCGTACCTTGAAATTTTATGGCAGAGACCGAGCATCTCATCAAATTATTCATTTAATAGGTCAAGGTCTTGAATTATACAGCGTAACTAAGAAACAATCTCAACTTTATAAAGACCCCAAAATTCTTATTTCCTTTTTTTATTAATGCCTAAATTAAAAATTAATTATAACACACTTTCTTAAAGGAGACAGAAAAATTAAGAAAGTTTAGTTTTCAATCCTCTAGTCTGCAAGACTCAAGGTGCGCAGGAGAAAAACCTGTAAGTCATTTGAATGCAAAATGTAAATACAGTAAAACCAATTAAAAGAAATTGAAGCACTCTTAGCCCTACAAAATTTCAAACCAGCCAAAGAGTATTTTTCTTCAAACATAATTATATAGTCAGATTTTGTAATAAACCAACGCTCCCTTCATCAACACAATTGCAAGGCAATTACTGCCATGTCAAAGGCAAGGGAACTAATGCCATTCAGTGTTAAGCAGCTGGAAGGAGTTCTTATAATAAAAAGCACTATAATTACAGCCTTCTTAGCAAAAATTTCATGTTACATTAATAATCCTTTATCACCGTGTTTTTGATCCGCTGTCCTTAAATCAGAACGAAACTGAATAAAAACGCTGACCATGAAGTTAGCTTTTAAACTCACGTGAGTTATTCAGAGAGGTAACATGCAAAGAAAGTCTTTAAAAAAAACCTGAAATAATTACATAGTCATCATCATTTGTTAAATGAATTCAAATTCAGCACATTTCCTCTCCTAAAGTAAAAGTTTAGCGTAGCGCTCAGCTCAGCCAGCATTTTTAATTTTCCACCACCCCACCCTTCTGTGGCTGGCATCTGCCATTACTACACCTTTCCTCACAGTTAGGAAAAGAGGGATACGGCCAAAGTACTGGCGAGTAAGCTGAATCTTCCACCCGGGAGAATGAGGTAATTACGTCCAAGAGAAATCTGCACATTGATATACGACCCAAGTAACCTCCTAAAGTTGTGTCTCTTGTTGGCAAGTGTATTCCTCCAGAACAACAATCCCATGCTAATGGGTTCATAATATTCCTTTCCCTTCCAAAATGCAATGTCAAATTAGGTGCTAAGTATTGGTTGGTGCTCCCAATGTGCTCAAGTTAAGAGACATTTCTAAGGAAAATATCGTTTCTGATCATTAACAGCAGATGAAAATGCCAAATAGATAAAAGGCTTAGGAGGACAGAGAGATAGGTAGTCAGTGTTTCTAGTTGTATTCCATATGTTCACAATATTTGCAATATCGCATTGCTACATCTAGTTTTACATTTACGTATACTTCAAAATTATTAAGGAATATTTGTGCTTTTTAGCAAGAGAAAGAAAACTAAAGTAATGCTGCAACCCCTTAGAAGCTCTCCCCACCATCTTCTTTTCAGATCTAAAGTTACAGTTAACAGAAAACTAAATATACAAAGAATATACACTGATGCAAAAAAAAGTGCCCAGATTCACACTTCAGATTCGGCTTCACTGGAACGTTACGGAGAAACAGAATAAAAGGAAGGAAATCTCATGTTTAAAATTCCCGTTTAAGCCAATAGCGTAGCCTTAGGTAGCTGTAACTGTACTAGTGCTGGCTGGCATCATTAAAAGCATGGAATAAAATTTGCCTAGACACTTTAACATGTGTCCAGAGAAGGGCAACGACTGGTGAGGGGGGTCTGGAGAACAAGTCTGATGAGGAGCGGCTGAGGGAACTGGGGTTGTTTAGCCTGGAGAAAAATGAGGATGCAAAAGAAGCCGAAGAAGAGAAC